CTCTGGTCAATTATAATTCTTGTTGATTTCACCACCTCTTATTTGATATAGTAGGAGAAAGATTCTTAATTGTGCATAATTATAGAAATTTTAAGAGTTTTAAAACCAATATATATATTGAAGGGATTAAAAATCCTTTCACTAATACATATAACAATGATTCATTTTGTTTTCCTAGTTTGTTTATGGAGATCACCAGTCACCTAATACAGCCATTACTCAAATGACCTTCTTGCGCCTTTTGTCAAAAGAAGCCTCACAGAACATTACATACATCTGTAAAAACAGTGTAGGGTACATGGATGATCAAACCAAGAATCTCAAGAAAGCTGTGGTCCTCAAAGGGTCTAATGACTTAGAAATCAAAGGAGAAGGAAACATTAGATTCAGATATACAATTCTTCAAGATACTTGCTCTGTAAGTACTTTTTGATCTATATCTATCTGGTTGAAGACAAAATTTACTTTTGTTAAAAATATTGTCATGGTACTAGAGATAGTAGCAATTTTATGCAGTGTATAAGGATACCAGCAGTTTGTTTATAGTCTTTCTTTAGTGTAAGCTTGACTGTGTGTTATGTATGGGGCAAGGAAGAGGTTCTAATAAAAATCAATGAAGAAAGGACAGGGTCTATGGGCCCCATCCAGTTTTTGCAAACTCACATTTGTTCTCCTACAACTTATTTGACTTATTTGGTCATAGTTATATGCTTTAAAATTCCTTGATCCTAAAATATATATCAATCTGAGATAGTTCATATCTTTCCCTGATTTGTATGTCTCCCCACTTGCATATCTAGATTTGAAAAGGAGGAAAAATGTTGTAAGATGAATTATGGTTCCTTTTGTGAGAAATAAAAAGACTGTCATTATTTATGTTGTTAGTGACAATTTGGAAAGCTGCAAAATAACAGAGCATTTACTCAATTTAGAACATGTAATAAATGCCTATCAGGCATTTTAGTCCTGCACTTTATTATGAGGTCCCTTTCATTTAAGTAGTGTCCTAAATAATAGTGCTTTTACATTATTAAAATTGACTGGAGTATTACTGTCTAATATCCTGGTTAAAGTTTATACATACTACTAATTCATTGCATAATTTAATTCCAGAAACGAAATGGAAATGTGGGCAAGACTGTCTTTGAATATAGAACACAGAATGTGGCACGCTTGCCCATCATAGATCTTGCCCCTGTGGATGTTGGTGGCACAGATCAAGAATTTGGCATTGAAGTTGGGCCAGTTTGTTTTGTGTAAAGTAAGCTGAGACACACCAACAATGACCACAACCACCACCATCGATGACCATCACCATTCACAAGAACTTTGACTGTTTGAAGTTGATCCTGAGACTCTTGAAGTTTTGGCTGATCCTGAATCAGCACTGTATATATGGTCTTAAGTGCCTGGCCTCCTTATCCTTCAGAATATTTATTTTACTTACAATCCTCAAGTTTTAATTGATTTTAAATATTTTTCAATACAGAAGTTTAGGTTTAAGATGACCAATGAAAATGACCACCTTTAAAAAAAAAAAAGTAAACTGATTGAATAAATAAATCTGTTTTCTTCAATTTATTTCAATATAATGAAAAAGTTGCATAGTATTTATGAGGAAATTCCTCCTTCTGGCAGGTAGCTTAAAGAATGGGGTATGTAAAACGACAACACATGTTTATTCTGCTTGGCTGCAGTTTGAAAAATAGAAAGTATTGCCCGTTTGTGACCTCTCATTCCCAGATTATCAAAATGTTTAATCTTGTGAATGAAACCCACATGTATGCCTTAATATTGTATAGCAGATGAAGACTCTTTACAAAGAATCTTAAAAAAATACTATATCAGTTTCTCACTGTCATAAAATGGAATATTTTAGTAATATATTTCAGTGGATTTCTTGAAAACAATGAATAATTTGAACGTCTTAAATTTTGTAAAGGGTGGTAAATTTACTCTTCTTTCTCTTTCAAATTTAAGAGGACTTTTTCCCTCTTGACTTAGTCTATTGATATAGATATAAGTTACATGTGTCTACCACTGAATAATACAATTGCACTTTGTTGTTTAAGAAGGCATTGAACGCAAAGTAATTTACACAAAAAAAAAACTTTATAGATGCAAGTTCAGGACCCAAAGTTGAGATTCTTCCACATGTACTAGCTCATCATCCTCAAGCCTGTACTGAAGAAAAAGATTTAGAAACTCAGAGTTGTGGAGCTGACTCTAATCAAATGTGATGATTGGAATTAGACCATTTGGCCTTTGAATTCTCATAGAAAAAAATGACCCAACATTTCTTAGCATGAGCTACCTCATCTCTAGAAGCTGGGATGGACTTACTATTCTTGTTTATATATTAGATACTAAAAGGTGCTATGATTCTGTTTTTATTCCAATACTGGAGATAAGCAGGGCTAAAAAAAATATTATTGTTATTATTACTTTTCCTTTAATGATGGTGCTAAAATTCCTTATATAAAATTCTTTACAAATAAAGATAGTTTCATCAATACCATTTGTGAAAATATAACTTAGACTTCCCATTCCTGAGAGAAATAGCATTGTTCCAGTGCCTTTTCACTGTTATCTGTCATACTGTATCTGGAGTGTTTTGTAATACTAGCATGTTTCTTAGAGTAGAACATGTAGGTCCCTTTGTGTCTCAAGATTTTTATTATTTTACTTAATTGCATTTGTTCATTCCATTTTTATTTTTTCTTTCAAAATAAGCAGCTGGAACCATCCCAAAGGACAAGCCATGCACACAACTTTAGTCATGTATCTCTGCAAAGCATCGAATTAAATGCACGCTTTTGTCATGTCAATGGTTTTGTTTCTGTGGAATTCCTTTGAACATACTTGCTCACTTCATTTCCAATGGTGAAAGAAAGGTGTTGTATTATTTATTTGACATTTGTTTAAAAGATAACACAAGAAAATGCTCTCCATCATGTATGTACTGGCTAATAAATGAAAATCTATCAGCAACATCACTTACAAAGGCAACGTAGCAATGATTATCATTGACTATGGCATTAAAAATGTTAGAGTAGTACTATTGATAAATGGAGAAAAACAATTGCTTTATTATGGTTGACAATAAAACATGTGTCTCACAGTGTATAACATATGAATGTAGCATAAATGTTTTCAGACTTCTATTTTCAACATTTATTTCACATCATTGCTTCCAAATGGTTATTAGTTAAGCTCTATATCTTGAAGTTAAATATTTATATACCTAAAGATATTTGTGACTTTTCTTTTAATTAAAACTTCCTTTAAGACCAACCTATACAGCTACACAAGTTTAAGGAGAGAAGCCAGAAATAGATGGTATACTAATAAGTCAAAAGTACTTAATAATTTCCAACTACAGATATACCAGTTACTATTAAGAGCTCTGCTAGCATAGTACCTAAGGCACTTGACTGCTAACCAGAAGGCTGGTGGTTCAAACCTACCAGCCCCTCCTCGAAAGGAAGGTTGGGCAATCTACTTCCATAGTAATACTGCTTCGAAAACCCAAGGAGGGGTCGCTATGGGTTGGGTCCGACTCGATGACATATAACAACAACAACAACATTTGGAGCCAGGAATGCAACAAGTGAAAGGCTTTCCCAGATCATTCTAATGGTTTTTAAATTTTTGCCTGAGTTTCAGACCTATAAGTACCATTAGACTGAACCTCTTTACCTACACCTCGGGATGGGGGCAGGAGTGAAATAATTTGCATCTGGGAAGGAGGGTGGCACTAATACATATTTATTTAAAATATCATATTTATTTAAAATATCAAATTAACAAAACTGAAGAAAAATGTCAAAAGAAATCACAAACAATAATGAACAGGTCCCAGACTCATAACTCAAAATTTGCTAAGTTATGCCCTAGCTCAAAGTAATTTCTTCCAAATTGAGAAGACATTCAAGGAAATCATAGATAATACACCTTCTCAAGAGAAAAATGTTATATGGTAGAAAGCAAGTGCAAAAAATGTAAGGAAAAAAAATGATTCAGACCATCTTCCTCAGGGCCTCTATTACATAGCTAATAAAGAGCCTCTCATAACCTTTTTCTTTGAAACTTTTTCTTTTCTTTCTTTACCAAGCATCATGTCCTTCTCCACAGACTGGTTGCTCCTGATAACATGTCAAAAGTATGAGACGAAGTCTTACCATCCTTGTTTCTAAGGCGCATTCTAGCTGTAGTCCTTTCAAGACAGATTTATTCGTTCTGCTGGTTGTCTATAGTATATCCAATATTCTTTGCCAACACCATAATTCAAATGCGTCAATTCTTCTTCAGTTTTCTATGGCCTTTTTCCTTATTCATTGTCCAGCTTTCACACACAGATGAGGTGACTGAAGATACTATGGCTTTCATTAGGGGCACCTTACTCTTCAAAGTGACATCTTTGCTTCCTAACACTTTAAAGAGGTCTTCTGCAGCAGATTTGCCCAGTGCAATACTACCTCTGTTTTCTTGACTGCTGTTTCCATGGATGCTGATTGTGCATCCAAGTGAAATGAAATCTCTGATAACTTCAGTATTTTCTCCATTTATTATGAAGTTGCTATTGATCCAGTTCTGAAGATTTTAATTTTCTTTATGTTGAGATGTAATCCATATTGAACACTGTATTCTTTGATTTTAATCAGTAAGTGCTTCAAGTCATCTTTACATTCAGCAAGCAAGGTTATGTCATCTATATATCACAGATGGTTAACGAGTCTTCTTCCAATCCTGATGCTGCATTCTTCTTCAAATAGTCCTGCTCCTTGGATTATTTGCTCAGCATACAGATTGAATCAGTATGGAAGGACATAAGCATGATGCACAACTTTCCTTATTTTAAAGAGTAGCCCCTTGTTCTGTTTGAAAGACTACCTCTTGGTTGATGTTCTGGTTCCTCATGAGCACCATTGAGAGATTTGAATTCCCACTCTTTGAAATATTATACATAATTTGTTGTGATCCATACAATCAAATGCCTTTGCATAGTGAATAAAACATAGGAAAACATCTTCCTGGTATTCTCTGCTTTCAGAGATCTGACATCATCAGTGATATCCCTCCTTTTATGTCCTTATCTCAATCAGGCTTGAATTTCTGGCAATTCCCTGTCAATGTACTGTTGCAACCATTTTTGAATTATCTTCAGCAAAATTTTACTTGCCTGTGGCATTAATGATATTGATAGATAATTTTCACATTCCGTGTATATTTCCAAATGCATATATCCAACTCAAATCTTTCCTTGGAGCTCGAGAAACGTATATCAAATGTTCAACACAGCATCTTTATTGGCTGTTTCACATGTACTCATAGGTTACTATGCTAAAATATGAATTCATGATATTTCTGTCTCAAAGACAGTTTTTATTCTGTGCCTCATTGTCCATCCATTTAGGCAGACCAAAAGCTTGAGAACCATCTTTTTCCTATCTTTCTCCCTCACTTTAAAAAACTATAGGCATTATTTAGTATTTTAAATTGTGTCTCCTAAATGTTCCTTAAGGCTATGCCCACTTCTTATCTTCCACTGCCACAATCCTAGCTCAAAGTATCACTTCTCTCACCTGGGCTTTGTCAATAACTTCAGGAGTCCATGCTTACCTGCTTCTGATCCTTTTTTCCCTCATTATCACCAAAGTGACCAAATTGAAATACAAATCTAAATATGCTACCTGTCACTCCTCACAACATAACACAAATGCATATACTTATATACATACATACTCTTAAAATATTTTATTGACTACTCCTAGGATAAAGGCAAAAATTCTTGGACTCCAAGAGGCTGTAGTATAACCTGACTCTTGCCTGTCTCTCAAGCTTCATTATCCAACTGTCTGCCTCACCTGCTATATTCAATTCACACTGAGTTTTTGTTCATTTCTCAAAAGCTAGATTCCCCATCCTGCCAAAGGTATTTATTTAGGTACTCCCTTTGCCCAGTTAACTTGTGCTCAATTTTAGAGCTATGCTCAATGCTGTATCCTCCAGAAATCCTTTCTAGATTTCCCACCACCCCTCATCACATCCCAAGTCTGATAAAGTCTGTTGGTATAAATTTTCTTGGCAATAACACTTTTTCTTTATAGCATATATCATGGTGTTTTTATACATTTGTGTGATTATTACGATGGAGTCAGTGTTTTCCACTAAATTTGTTTTGTTACAAGACAATAGTTGATTACACAGGATCAATAGAATAGTCAGTATTTGTGTGTGTTCAAAATACATTCACTGAATAAATGATAAGAATTTATATATTGAGTAACAGGAAAAGTAAGTTTAGAGGGTATTCATAATTGGCTTAGCACTAATGTGAAGCAGATACTATCATTACTATTATGCTACTTTTTTATTATTATCAGATAGTAAACACAATATAAAATTTTTTTCATAATAGTAACAACATACAAAACTCACTGCCGTCGAGTCAATTTCTACTCATAATGACCCCTCCTTGGGTTTCCAAGGTGGTATGACTACGGAAGTAGATTGCCCAACACTCCTTCCAAGGAGTGGCTGGTGGGTAGAACACTAAAGATTAAATATGACAAGAAATT